GTAGACCCACGGGCTGGAGCCCGAAGTTATTTTCTCAGGGCCACGCCACGGTAAGATGACAACTCTGAGGCACGGCCAGCAGCAACACAAATACCCCCTGCGCTCCATGTCCCACTCATCCTCATGCTTTTCCTGCTTTTTTTTTTTTTTTTTTTATTTGTACTGGTTGTGTAGATCAATTACAAGAAATACAGTGGGAAACCTTACACGTATACGTACGGGTTGGGGCTGAATCACTTTGTCCCAGACAGGGTAACTATCAACGAACGGGTGAGGTGCACCTCTGCCATGAGCTTTCAGTTTAAGGACAAAAAAGAGTATGTTTGAGATGTGGGGTTTCTGGGGGTTTTTTTCCACCTTTAGCTTTGCAAGCTGAATGTTAAAACAAAGGAGACCTGGGTGTGGCAGGAGCCGGATTCGTACCCCTCGGAGCCGATCTTTGTTTCCCATCCTGATGCCCTGGAGGAAGATGACGGTAAATACTGATTCAATTTTGGTCAATGGCATCGCCATTTGAAAAGCTGGAGTCTGCTGGCACTGGGGGCTGTCTGCAAGGCGGTGCCAGAGGCAGGCCAGAGCAGAGCCCTTGTTCTAATGCTGGTGGGAAGCTTCTGAGGAGAACGTGGGAAAATTAACACTGAATGAAAACAAAGGAGGAGGAAGACTTCTAGGTTTAGATGATCTGTTGTCCTCATTTCCTAGCCCTTTTCCTCGTCATCATTAATTGCAATATTCAAAGAATTGCAGGTGGCATAACTTTGTAAAACTAAACCTCTCTTAAACCAGGCACGTTTTCTATTCCTAACCCATCCTCCTCATGCAGGAGCGGAGCAAACTCGGGCGTTGTCACTCAAGGACACGTAGCTGTATTCCTGCCAAGCGTTGTACGCGTTCCTTCGCACATCCCCAGCCCTGTACCTACTTTTGAAGTTGAGTGGCAGCACTCAGCCTGAGAGGGTGTACACTTATTCCCTGAATTCCTCATCTCCGAAAAGGATTACGTGAAGCTAGGAGAAGCCTTGGCTCTGCTCAATTTAAGAGCCAACTCTCACTGGTTTATAGTAAGATTTTTGTATTTCATAGCCAAAATATTTTGTATTTGAGAGCAAAATTTCATATTCCCTGTGCTTATGTGGGGGCTTAAGTCCCAACAAAATGAAAAGGTTTTAAGTTTGTTCTTAAAAGCTTTCCTTAACTGAGGTAGACAATGTGCATTTTAGGAATATGTTTAAAGTCTCTCTCCCTGGGACTTAAGCCCCTGCAGAAGCACTCTCCAAAAGCTGAGTTAACGCCAGGCTCCATGCTCACATTTCTGTCACCTTCCCTGAGGCTGTGTTTGGTGTTGGCGTGGACGATGGTTGTTCCCATGTTCTCCTGCAATGACTGATGCAGAGAGTACACAAATGAACAAAAACCCCAAGAGCTAGGACGTCCCATCCATTCCACATAGGGATGCCAGGATCCAGAAATGGGTATCTTGTCGCATTAAACATCAGAAGCAGAATTATAAAATAATTTATAAATTTATAAAGTAATTCATAACATTGAAAAAATTAATGGACAAATTTGATATATATTGTAGTAAGTGACATTTGTCGTCAGCCCCTGCTCTTCATAGTTCCTTTTCAGAATAAAATCATTTTTCAGTTTTAAAAAGAAAGTCTCCATAGGAGCTACTGCACCACAGCACCCCAGGCTGGTAAGCTGATGATGGCAAGAACCCAATATAGTATGATAAATAAATAAACAATCTCGGTCTACTTCAGAACTGACGATCACACAATAGTAACGGGATTTACTCCGTGCGAGCGGCTACTCTTACCGTGACCAGCCTGAGGGCAGGGTACAGCAAGCGCACACCCGCGTCAGGCGTCTCGTTCTTCTCCCCTCCCAGGGGTTGTGCTGAGCATCGTGATCAGCCCGGGCGCAGGGCCGAAGCCCGCCTACCTCCTGATCCTGAACGCCAAGGACATGAGCGAGGTGGCCAGGGCTGAAGTGGAGGTGAACATTCCTGTGACTTTCCACGGACTCTTCAAAAGAGCGTGACCGCTGCCTGCAACATGTCCTGTGAAGTTTCTTCCAGCTTCGAAAAGGTGTGGTCTCTGTTTACAAACATTCAAATGACCTAGATTCCTTCAACATCACTTTTTATTTGTATGGCTACTTAATTAAGATTGAGCATTTCAGGGTTTTTTTGATGATTCTTCAAAATACTTAACCAGGTATTTTTCAAATACGCCCTTTGGCATAATTTCACAGATGTACAGTGCTAAGAACTATGGAGTTAAAACAACACAAGTTTGGGGTGGTGAGGAGGAGGTTTTTGTTTTTACAAAATTAAACTTCGCAGCTGTGGCAGAGTTAAAAATGCGTGAAATGGCACAGTGTAAACTGAATACCTGTGCACATGATAACATTATGTAGAACAGTCTCTGTGCTTGGTTACACGCCTTGAGAAGAGGTAATTTTTAGCCTATACTGAAGTATTAGGGATTTAAGTCACCTCCTGGTCACTCCTTTAGTATCCTCAGAGCAGTCCAAGTGGAGCCTTTCCATAGCTGCTTTGGAAATCGGAACTGGCAGGCCCAAGGCTGTGAGGTGGGCAGCATTCTGTCCTTTACTAAGGCTGAAAACTGCACACTCTAGCCTACATGTTTTCTCTTTCCCATTTCTTTTGTCAAAGTGCAGTTTCTTGAGTTCTGGATTTCATACTAAAATATGAATATGAAAAAAAAAAATCCAGTAATTGTTACAGCTTGGGATGAATTTGCTTCCTTAGTGTGCTATAGGCTCTCAACACTTTCTTTCCACGAAATAAATTTTCAACTAATGTAGTAAGAGGCTGTGGTTCAAAATACAAACTTATTGCTGATAGACTTAGACTCCAGGATTCCTGTTTGTCTGCAATGGTTTAACTTTTTTTATTAATGGTATCAAAGAATTTGAAAATCATTGACATTAAAGATTTCTAGTACACAGTGCTAACTTTAAAAGGCTGATTACTTGAAAACGGCTGCATTCACATTCTGATGACAGGATACTGATACGGAGATACGACCTGGTACTTCTGCTGTTCTATAATCTCTAAGCACTGTGCAATTACCTAATTAAAAACAAAAGACAATATAAGCAATGGGCCTCTGAAACAAAAAATTAGTAAAACGTTCTAGTTATGCACTCATTCCATAAGGCATTTGTTCTGACTTTTTGCAAAACAATGAGCGTTTAAAATGAACAGTTGTCAGCTGTAGCGTTAGGGGAAATGGATGTCAGTGTAAGGCACCACTGGGGCAGGGGAAGCAAAGGAAGCAGTGTCCTCAGGCTCCCAAAGTTTATGCATTGCATACAGAGACCACTAAACCTTTTTAATATCGCTGTGGTGACAGGAGAATTACTTTTTGAACACTGGGAAGCTATATTGCCATAAAACTCCAGTGAAGATATATTATGTGATAATCCATTCCTGTTATTACATAGCTATGCTCCTAAAATTCCCAATTGCCTATCAAAAGAGCGTATTCTGCTCTTTTGCATCCACCTTTTTCTAAGAAGTCATCTGTCTTGGTGTCTTGTGACAACAGGGACTGAAAATACAGAACTGTTTTTGGACTTTAAAACCAAGATAATTCTCCATTAAGATTTTGTTAACTTTTGATCATATGGTGCATGTAATAGTCTCCTTTGCCAAAACCTTTTGTGTATCTTGTTGGAAAGCAAGAGCCATGGTAAGCACTTTCCTAATTTCACTGTGCATATTCCACTGCTGCTGGAGCACACATTGTCTTTTAAAGTCTGTTTAAAAAAAAAGCACGTTAAGGATCTGAATGAGCACGAGCCGTCAGTTCAGCCAAAGCTAAACATAAATACCATCTACTAGCAAGAACTGGGATAAAGTAGAAAAGCAATGTTGTAAAAAAAACAGCTAAACATGCAAACATAAATTGTGGTGTGCTAGTGAAAATTACCCGAGAGTAACAACAATTCATTTCAACTGTCACATATTTTCTTTCCATGTGTAGTTCCTAGACAGAGGGTAGTCTTTAGGTTCTAGTACTAGAAAATGCTTCTCTATGCACTCCCATTATCAAAGTTCCCATCAACTCCACAGAAAATATTTTAACATCAACATAGTACCATGAACGTGTACCATATTTAGAAGGATTAATTGATAGCAGGCTGTATTTGTGATCTTTAAGTAAACAAGCTTCACAGTGGCAAAGAACACTAAGTATTGCTAAGAAACAAAATACAACAAGGAAAAATAGGACAAAGACGGCGGCTTTCAGAAAGAATCTGATGGAGTGGATGTCTGTCAACTTAAAAAAATAAATTAAAAGGGGGTGAGGGTATCCCAAATGTAAGCAGCAAATTACAAGCAGAAAGTAGAAAAAAAAAACATCCTAGGACAAAAGAATGGAAACAATGTGAATGGCAAAGAGCTTGAATTAAAAGAGTGAAGATAACGTGTGATTATGCAAGACCGATAAAGAAAGGATTTGGATACAGAATCAAATAGTAAAGTCAATGAAGAGGTTCATCGAGGAAATGCTGTAGTCAAGTAACCAGAATTCAACAGAAACTTTCTGGATAGGTTAATGGGGAAGAGAAAAGATGAGAGTTACAAAGCTAAATGCCACAGAAAATGGAGTGAGAAGTGGGAGACTTGGTTCTGGGAATTGGCATGCTGCTGACCTTGAGCAAGTGACAGGCTTACACGTTCACTGCAAGATCCTTTTGAGATCTGGGGATAGGATGTACTGTAAAGAGCATATAAGGAAAAAAAGCCTACCTTTCTGGTATTTTGAGGTAGAATTACACCATCATCCCAGAGTCTGGCAGAGGAGTAAAATGCACTGCTTTCTTCCTCTAGCCTGGAGAAGACAGAGTATTAAATAAGCTTAAAAGCACAAAAATATAATAAAAAACATCAGGCCAGTAAAATATCATCATAGGTGAAAAAGGCATATACTTTAATCTCAAGTGAATGTGCAGTACTACTGTTAAAATTGATTAGAATTCTGCAAATAATAGGTAATGGATCTGATCATTCTGCAGTACAGAACATCCTCCATATTCAGATCACCACTGTTTAATATACAGCAGAATATCTTGATTTTGGGTGGGGTTGGGAGAGGCTGTTTGTTGGGTTTGAGTCAAACATTTGTCTGCTCTGGGGTTTTTTTAAGGAAATACATGGAATTACATAGAAATTTAAAATATTTTTCAGTAGATTCAGGTTCGTTTTATTTGTTTGGTATGTGTTGATCTGTAAGATGAACCAAAGTAGGTAACTTAACTAATTAAATCCCAGTGTAACTGCAAGGGTTTATATTTAATGCCCTTACTTCTCTTTCAGATGTTTTAGCTCTGATTCATCTCCTGTACGGTCATTGTCCTCAGCTTGTGGGACTGTGGAGAAATGTCTTGAATCCACAAGACCAACTCTTGCATTAGGCCACAAGAACAGGAAGTTTGGACTGAACGATCTCCCACACTACGAAAAAATGCAAAGAAAAAATTCATTGAAATTAATTACAAAAAGATGGCTGTAGGATGACACAATCCAGTTCAAGACAGAATGTAATACACTTTAATTTGTAAAGCATTAATGATACAGCTCCTTTACCATTACAGCTACAGCTCCTGTATCAGTAGACACCCTGTGGTAGCAACCATCACAATCCCCACTGCCTTCAATATTCTGTTTTACTACTTCATTTTCCCTCCAAGTGCTTACATGTTTAATTCTGAGCAGAGCCCTACTGCACTTACTAGCAGCGTGAAGAGCACACGTAGTAGCACAACTAAAGGAGACACACTCCTTGATCACTGAAAACAAACAGCAAGTGCTGAGAAAAAGGTAGGATTGGCTCAGAGAGGGACATTTTCAGATAACCTGGTTTGTTAGAACTGGCTCTAGGTTCTTAGGTGCAGACCAAATTTTCTGTAATCGCATCTTGTGATGCATTTCTTACTTTAAAAGTAGTTAAAATAAGAAATCAAGTTTAAATGTCTGAAACAACAGCTGACTCTTGTTTTAAAATGAAGTGCTGTGAAATCTTGGTAAAGTGTAAAAAGTCTATTACCAAACCCATTAACATTTCTGCTACCCATACCATAACATAACTTTCACTCCCGTAACAGCCACCGATTACAATGGTTATTTTGGGAACAGCAGCACAAGCAACAGCAGCCATCATGGAGGCCTGGGCTTTTAATCTGTTGGAGTGAGCCTCTGCCTGAAATGACAATAAAGATTTTTAGATCCTTTATGCCTTTCTTCTAGATTCCCTTTGCTCCCACCAGATGTGCGTTTATAAAACATTTCTTTCTTTACAGTTCTGTATGATCATTTCTTCCATAGGAGTAAGACAACATCATTAACTACCATAGCCCATTACGTGCTTATTTTAAAATGTAAATCAGCAAAACAATTATAACCAGTGTGCAAAATCCTACGATACAGTGCAACCCTGGCTCTCCCAGGCATTAGCAAAGCTTAGATACAATGCAGTTATGCCAGGCTTTATCTTAAGTGCTGGAATGTTGGGAGGAACAGGGCCGCACAAACAGTCTCTGCTCAGAGAATCTAATGTAGGTTTTACTATGAGGCTTTCTGTAGCCCAGGACAAAACATACTGTATTTTAATGCCTTCACTTTTCTAAAAGAGAAATATTTATTTTTTTGTGGAGTGCAGTGGTATCAGAAGAATTGATAGGCTGTATTTCAATGTAAAAAGCACTTAAATTGAGAGTTTTACAGCTTGCACGCCAGCTGGACAGTACCATTTTAGATAAGCGTAGAGGTCTGCTTAAAATAAAGTGAGAATGCTAATGGAAAGATCTAAGAACAAAGTAACTATGAAGCTTCTTGGTTTAAACCATCAAGAGGGGTTTAAAAAAATTCTTTTCCTAACAATTAATAATTTTCAAAATATAATCTTAAACAAAACAAGAACTAGGCATTACTTGACTTAAGCATATTGAACTAAAAATGCGATACCTGTGAGATGCTTGTTGGCTCTGCTGTATGCGGAGCAGTATTTTGGAAAAAGAGGATGGGAATGCTCCGCTGACTGCACAGCTGTACAAAATGGCTACCCTTGAGAGAAGCATCATGGGACAGCACCCCATTGTTAGCCACTATCCCCACCAAGTGCCTACAAAAAAGACACATGACATTTTCACTTTTGAACCCCCAAAATTATGAAACTAGAGCTCATAATGTTCTGAAGGGTGGAAACATAAATATCTGTGTACACATACACAGATCTGCCCTTTTACAGAAATTCAGCATGTGAAAGGATGCACTTACACATGTCATTTCATTCAAGGGCCCTCACGTACCAAACAAACAAGAAGTCTTACAGACTTCTGATATGTAAAGCATGGAAGCATTAACATGGATTAATACCCAGAGGGCAGGTAAAGCTATAGATGACCTGTCAGAGTTTACACTGCAGGACAATGTACAAGGTGCCAGGACTCTGGGCTCGCTCTAATTCCTGTAACACATAACATTAACGGTCAGTCTGAAAAGTTTTTACTTTCAACCTAGAGAGTCTCTAAAATATATTTTGCTACCTTTTTTTTTTAATATGATTTGACTGGGATGTTGTATGCTTCATGAATGTGTTAATAATGCAGTCTGATCTGAATTATGCAAGGTTTTATTGTATGGGTATTATCCCATCTCCATCACATGGGAGAAGGGATGATAGCTTTCAGCTCAGTTTGAGAAGGAACACTTTTAAAGATACTGTTTCTAATTTCTTAAGGAATCTACTGAGACTTCAGTGTTCCAACTGTCTGTCTAGTAGTTTTTGTGAACAAACAAATCATTTCACAAAGTCATGAAAACCATTCATCTATAATCACTCTCTGCTGCTATTGGTCTGAGGACATGACGAATTCAGAGCTCAGAGACAGAAGATCAGGCTTTCTAGAAGTATTTTATTACCAGTTCTTGACTGATTCAGAACTTCATAAACATTGTTACTGGAATACCATAAAACCTGATGATGAGATGAAAGCTATTTAGACAAGTATGTCCATGCATTTTGATAGTGAAATGTTACAGCCTTACCCTTCCACATGGCCAAATCCTGTTACTAATGTTGTTCCATAATTAGCCTTGAATTCCTGGAATCTGCTTCCATCCATCAGACGGCTCAGAATCTGCAGAGAAATATACAGTCTTTACTACAGAAATTTAAGTGAAAATAGGATAGTTCTGCTAAAAGATATGCTCTGTTCAAATAGTAAGGAGACCCATATAATGCAAGAAGTCAACCTAAATGAGCGTAGAGACCCTTCTATGTCTTACACTCTGCTAAATACTCAAGATGCACAAAACACAAAATTTGTGTTTACATTTGGTTACCAACTATGTATTTTGGGCCAAAGTTCAACTCCAGAATTACTTCAGAGTTACAGAGCACTGTTGTTCATGTGCATAAAAAATGTTGTAAAAAGCCAGCATGTGCTGTTAGTTTCTGTGCTAAGAAACGCTCAGCAGCATATTGCTTATGCTTTTTTCAAACACAGTTTAAAAGCTGCCTTCAAAGCTACACTGCTTTCTACAGTCAATCCCCTTAACTGTAGGAATTTACCCCTGGAAAAGATACTGGATTCACATCCTTGGAAACTACATCTCTTCTAGAACAACACAGTGAAAATAGCGTGGGAAGTTCTACATGTCTCTGCTTATGTATTAGCATCTGTCCCAGCCTCAAAACAAATCTAATTTGAACTTTGTTGTTTTTTCAGTCAGTATTTTCACGAGGCATTTAACTTGAGGAGTCTTTACTTGAGGAGAAAAAAAAAAAGGCAGGGGAGGGGAAAACAGGACACTAAAAGGGTGCACATTCCCAAAGCAGCCAACACAGTACAAGACATACTGACATCATGGCATCTCAAACAGTGCACGGAAACAGATGGGGATCAGCTGGCATAATCTGTAATTATCTTATTTCTAGCAGGTTTTCAGCTTAAGTATTTTCTATAATTCTACAGAATTGTTGCCATTCTGCTTTGTTGCAGACTCAAGACAGTTTGGCAACTGATTAGGTAATAATACAGAGTATCTCAGGTATTTCAGGATTTTCCAAGAGCAAACAGCCTGTTGGCTGTTAATCTGGAGCTACTAGATAGAGCAGACCGAAAGGACGAAGGAATACAGAATGCATTACCTTACCAATTTTACAGGAAGAGTACACCTATAATCTTGTGGTGCCAATCCCAAGAGCTCATCAGAACTATAGAGAGGACTGTCATGCTCTATGACCTCCTCTGGCAGCGGATCATAATTTAATGTAGAGATAACATTTCGGATACATTCATAGGCTTCCTTTTCTGAAGACGCAAAATGGTCACTACAGCCACTGACTCTAGGAGAGAGAGCAACATTAATTAGTATTGAATTAATGAAATCTGAATTCTGATAGTAAACCCATACTAAAGGGAAAACCTTAATCCATGCTGTGACTCTCCAAACTCCCTGAAAATATTGTGCAATTTTGTTTTTGTATGAATGAGCTGAAAGCAGTAAATTCAGTGGAATTTCTGTGCAATCCAACCCAAAACCAAATTCACAGTAAAGGAGTTCTTCCCTGTGACGTTTGTGTTTACCTATACTAAAGAAAGACCTTTGAATTTACTTTCATGATGATGTTGTTACAAACAATATAATGAAGGGAAAACAAACTTTAAAAATTATTTCAAAATAAGCACTTCCAGCCTGGCTATAAAGACAGTAACTTATTACGTGTAACACAGTTAGCTGACTGTTACACCAGTATTTGTTTTTGTGAGAAAGGTATGGAATCTGGATACCATACACACAGCATAGAATGCCAAGAACAAAGAAGCAAAGCCACCTTTTTCCCCTATCTAGAAGGGAATAACTATTTTGACAACTACAGAAATTTCTGACATAGAAAAATAGCATTAAAAAGATGGTAAGATAGCTACTATCAGGTTTATTTCCTGCTTGCTCATCTCCTGCTATAAAGCCCTCATGAACAGCAGAGGCAGGCAGGCTTTCTGTTTTTCTTCTTTGCTTCAGGTACTTTTCTCAGCATTCAGATTCTTCTCTACAGTGAGTTAGTCCAGTGTCTTCAGAAGCAGACAAATGCAAAGAAATCATACCACCTCTCCACTCATCAGTTCAGGGAAGAAAAGAGACTTTCTTACGCATTTTCCCCACCATCACAGTATTCAAACACTCACAATCATTTTTTAGTATTTGTATCCTGGCAATGTTTACATTAGCAAAAGAAATGCTACCATCCCTCTTCTATAGCTTGTCCCTGTGAGGCACAGAGAAACTGACTCGCCTGAAGTTGTTCAGAAAGTATGTGGAACCAAATCCAGGTTTGTCCAGTCCCTGCTTCACCCCATAACATCACTTAAATTTACTTCCATTTGGCTGATCTAGCATAAAAACTCATACCTGAGAAGGAAAGCAAACAATGTAATAATAGATTCCACTTTTGGCCCTGATCCTGACCTCCGCAGTTATGTGAGATTTCTATCAGTGTGTGTCTGTGTGTGTATATATATTTATATATGTGCACACAGTGGAAGTGGAAAGTTCCCATAGACAGTAGTAAAGCTGAAATTACAATGCCATGTTACTTTTTTCATTTCAACGAGTTATATCTAGCCCCATGATACTCCCACATATATAACTGAATGCCACCACCCTTTATAACAATTCATGTATCGTTTCTCCTGGGTTTTTTTTCACTGCATGTTTTTCAGTCCTTGAGGACCATATTGTGTCCTGTCACTGGAGTAGCTTCATTCACTTATTTTAAGAGAAAATGACAGTTTCTTTAAAGCTAAGTATGCTGAATTCTCTTCTATTTTTAAGACTTATTTCACCTACTTAGAGTGAAGTTTAGCTCCTCCTAGGTCCTCAGGAGAGACATATTCTCCTGTAGCAGCTTTTACCAGAGGTGGGCCAGCAAGGAACAGCGTCCCGATTTTATCTATAATCACAGTTTCTTCTGCCATGGTTGGAACATAAGCACCTCCAGCTACACAGGAGCCACACACCACTGCCACCTGAAGGACAAAGAAACCAAAAGAAACCAAGGTACTGGAGAGATAATGGAAAGGCAAAACCATTATGTTTATTTCAGAAACGTTCAAGAGACTAAATCACAGCTTGAGGAACAATGAACTAGAGATATAAATACCAGCATGAACAGCAATGCTGGTTTTCAGAGAGTTCAATCTTTGCTCTGAAATAACCTAGCGATTTGATGTTTTCTGTCAATCACGATCAGTCGGTAAACACTTAGAGGATCCTTAAGGCTGAAGTATTCTGTTATGTGAGATACCATTTGAACCTTCCTTCCCCACAAATAGAAAAGGTGAGCTTTAGAAAATTTTTTGCATGTTTGAGAGTTGTTCCTAGAATCTGTATTGGAACAAGACTTTTTCCAGATCTCTACTGACCACATATACTGCACTTACTTGTACTCCAAAGGACACTGTACCTGAGGGATTCTCATGGCAGACATTATTGCTTCATTGTAGAAAACTCTGCCACCGTGTGACTTGTCAGGAAACAGCTCCGACTGACATTACAGAGAAAAGACAAAGTGAGCTTCAACATTAACTACAAAAGCCAATGCTTCCTCTTCACTCCATTCATTCACAAACGTATTGTAACTGATTCTGGGAAGGTCACCACTAACAATCACACTCAAAACTTTCATATACAGTATTCGCTACAGTATATATTCCCCTTATACATTGTGCAATTCCACACAAATACCTATGTGTTTCAAAAGCAGAAGTAAGTTTTGTACTTTTTTGTGAAACCAATTTATTCTACATAAACTGAGACTGTACACATGGAGAAGGAGAAGCTCTTGTTCATACTTTATCTGTGAAATGACTTCAGCACAGTTTCCCTTTTTACTTAGTTTTCAATACAATTCCTCAAGTCAGGTAAAAACTTTTTCTATGATGTGTTTGCTTGCAGTCTGGAGGAGGAACTACTATCATCTCTGTGATATCATGACCTCTGTACGTTAGAAAGTAACCTGTGCAAATTCTTTTACAGTAAGAATTTCAACAATTACATTTTTAAAAGCCATGGAGGTCTGCATTTCTATCACAAACATTACAATAAAGAACAGAGTAATTTTATAGATTCTAAAGTTGAAAATAGAAACCTCAAACAATGTACCAATTTATTAAAGACACCACGGCATTTCAGCACACTGAGGAATACCCATGCTCGGTCAGTCCTTTCCCCCCCCCACTCACATTCAAGTTCCTAAACTTCCATTAGATGCTATATGCAAAAGGTTAGCCATAGCAATCGCCAGTTACGTATCTTCAAATCATCTCCTGGACTCCGATTTGTGGACAAAACTCAATTTAAGTATAACAGACAATAAAAGTCAAACCAGCCAAGAAAACAAAACATAAATCTGAGGTTTATTGCTAGCCATTAGTATGATTAAAATAACCCTAGGTGTTTGCTTCTGTGAAGTGGTTCTGATATTACCTGTAGTGGTAGGAATGCTCCCCCACTGTCAACGAGGTACACAGATAACAGCCTGTTCTGCATGGCTATTTCTTGAGCTCTTAGTTGTTTCTTCACTCCAATTGGATAAATAGTTCCTCCTTTCACAGTTGCATCATTTGCTGTGAAGACACACCAGACCCCACAGACTTTGCCAATTCCTGTAAGTGGTACCACAGATACTTATCAGGGGTCTCTAAAATACCATAGACAAAGACAAAACAAAGGGGCCAAATTATAGCTAGGATGTTCTTTCGGTAATACTGTATCTAGAAGCTGCAAATTAAGTTGCAAATACCACACATGCAAGAAATCTATAGCTCTTCTCTGGAATAACAAACTGAAAGCTAATGACAATTTAAAAAAATCTAAGTGACAGAAGACAGAACTTGAAATAAACTTACTCTTAGTGACAATATAAGAGAAAAAAATACATAGTCTGACATCCAACTTCTTGAGATAACAGGGAAGGCAATTAAAAATTACCTATATAAAACTGAAAAATGTAACAATCTGTTACAAAAGGTAGAATTTCATACTCTGTTATAGTTACTTGTCAAACTGGAACTGCTCTTCAAAATGCAATCAAAAGACTTGTCTGTAATTTGAAAAATACTACAAAGTAAATGTTACAGCTCCTGTGTCACACAGTAACTTTTGCCCCCTTTCCTTTAACAGACAACAGTGCATTTGACACACCGTTCTAAATTTTTTGAGACAAGTATCAGTAACTGGTAAGTAGAATAAATTACTGGATCTAGATGAAATGAAATAACTTTTTTTCTTTAAAGGTTTCTCCCACATTACACAGCAAAGATCACAGAAGAATACAGCAGTGGCTGAACTCTTTCATGTTGGGAGCATCATTACTGGATAGAACTAATGTTCAGTTTTCCTAGTAAAGCACATTCTTAAGATACTAAAATATTCCATAAACCTGATTATATGCATCCTTTTTCCTTTCCCAGTAAAAACAAACACCTTAACTTCAGTTAGCAAGGCTGGTTAATATAGGAAGGTGTGCAGCACACACCACAGACTACAACTAATGTACGCTGCCTGCAATCACTTACTCATCACTGCACCCAAACAGCATCTCTCAAACTATACTGAGGATCATGTTAGTTCAAAACCCTTCTTCCTTCTGGGCTGCATCTCCAACACGGGCTGCTCAAAACAATACCTTCATCCATCTTTAGACCTAACATGAATCATACTTAAAGATACGAGCAATGAAACAAATGAACTTCATTAATTTCCCATTACATCTAATACTACATTTGCTAGCAATTACCAGTGAGGCACCCCGCAGCAGGGACATCACCGTATGGCATATTGAGGCCTGCCAGCGGAGACAGCTCAAGAAAGGACTCATCATCAAGTAGCAACTTCAGGCGTTCACGAACAAACAGCTTCTGGTTTCTTTGAGTATGACGCAAAATGGCACTTTCTCCCCCTCCTTTACTGACCATCTCTAGCAACTCTGAGTATCTGATTTAAAAAACAATGTTTCAATTAATGAAAACCACCTTTACTTATAGTTAGTAGATTTAGTATAGTACTTAAGTGTATCGCACAGTTTTCATATCAATGGTATGAGATTGAAGATGAGGTCACATTGTCGGATTATTGTTTCTTACTAAGTGCAATAAAAAGCAAAAGTTTGTTATTTAAAACAAGCATTTTAGCTTCATTATTCAAAAATTGTCTAATAGATACAAAAAAAGAGTGAAATAATATAAATATTCTATCTGTAGTTTATGTTTGTAGCTAGTAGACATTATTAAATCCATACCCTCCCCTGGGTGTTGCCCATATACACCCAACACAGAGTATTTCACAATATATGATCATACTTCATCTCTGCCAGCAACCCCACGAGCCGAGTACTGAGAAGGGGCTGATCATCAGCGACCAAAGCTGACTTTGAGAGGCATTGCCCTACAACAACATTAGCCTATAAACTTACAGCTATGAATAAGTCTACCATAATTTGCTAGTCCTAATTCAGCATGGACATTTACCTCCATGTTCCAACTACTCTAGGGAAGAATCCAGTCAAGGGCTTCCTCCTTCAGTTCCCCTCAATAAGTTTATCTGACAAAAATCAGTAACGGTAAGTAGAATAAACTACTAAATCTAGAAGAAATGCACACTCTACAGCATGGAAGATATACTTTAAAAGTAGTGAACACTGCAGTGTCAACTACAGTCATCAAGAGAGGAAGTGATTACCAATGTTATTGTTGGGGCAGCATGAAGTACAGATAAAGAATTGAATAAACTGTAAACAAATGTGGTATGGAGTAATTTTGGTCTTAAATAAACCAGGTTCTCAATTTATTTAAAGTAGAATATTCTTCACCAAGATGCATAATCTTTAACTAAAAATACTGTTTGACATAACTATTTACGCACCACTTTGTATGTGACTCCATTATCCTACTGTGGCTTCCTGCAGACTGTAGAGATTGAAAAACCTCAGGACAAAAAAGCTAAGGATTTTTAATAATGCCGTAAATGCCACCACAGGAGGGCACAGTGTGTTTTCCATAGCTTTGCTTCCAGCTCATGTATCATTCCTCTGAACAAAGGCCTTTGAATTTTTGTCATCTGATCTTTAAGGACAAACACATAAAATACATTTTCCTGCTTTTGTCAGTGAATCACGATTAATTGCAGTTACTACTACCTACTCTTTTAGGAGGAATCTGTAAATGCGTGAGTCACCATTTATGTCTTTGCCTTCAAAATCAAACACAAAACAAATGTTATGAAGGTCTAGAAAAAATACTTCTTGGCAATATATGCAAAACAACGTCACATGGCATTTTTTTAAATACAGTCTGCACCTAGGTTTAGGCATTTCAGCCAACATTGAAGCAACTCTTCTGGAGGCCTGAAATTTTAAAGTGCTGATCCTTGCAAAATTCAATCTGCAGAGAAGCTACCCAAGAAAATAGCAGCAAGAAAACTAGTTTAAGCTTCAAAACGGTTAGCAAAAAAAAACAGCTTTTTTTTTTTTTTTTTTAGTTTCTGGACTTTTTAATTGGCATTCTTCCTATGTTAAAAGTTCCTAAAAGTGCCTCTACGTAACTCTCACATCATCTCACAAGCAGCAACACTTTTAAAACACCACCAAAACAGTTTATTACCTTTTAATAACAGCCTCACTGTTCCTTAAATTTTCTTCAAACACATGTCGATACACAGACAGGATACGTCCATCTAAAACAGGGTAAGTTTTTGCATACCGCCTATATTTTGCTTTATTACTTACTAAACGGCAGAGAAGCATGTCGCGTGTCCTTTTCAACCCCTGATTCTGCAGTATGTGTGTGGGTTGTTTACCATGACAGAAGTCCTTAAACTTTCTTTCGAACACGCGATTTAAGGTTTGTAACCTTGGAAGCAGCAGGGATGTGGCGTTGGGGGGCAGCCTGCCAAGGGAGCACAAAGTGACAGTGTTCCACATGACCCTAAGAACTAGAGGGAGAAAAAAAACAGCATTTATTGCCAAAAACTGAACTTCAGGTTCCCTCGACTAACGAGGGGAAACAGACACCACGCCTCAGGTCGGGGCCGTGAGGGAACACCCCCTGTTCCCGCCCTGCAGCACGCACCCTGCCCGGGGAGGAAAGCCCCGTGAGGCGGCGGCCCCGGGCGGCTCC